ATCGCGTCCGTCTCGTATTTGGTTCTCCACTGGGCCACTTCGCTGTTGGCCTTGGACAGGGCACGCTGCAGCTCCCCCTTGGCTTCCTGCTCCTCCTCATACTGTTCCCGGAGCAAGTCACAGTCATGGCGAGCAGACTGCAAGGCGTGGGCCAGGGCGTTCTTGGCCTGTGAGCACATTGGGATTGGTAACCTGAATATTTGGCTTGAGATGCCTCTTGATAATGAAATTGACAGTGAAATTAGAATGAAGCTCTTATTAGGCAAATGAAGCTGGGAGCTGATGATGTGTTAGTGACAGGTGCTCTGGGGACAGCAATCTGTTGTTTCTGTAAGTGTTTCGACATATGTGTAAGGTCTTGCACCTGGGGCAGTATAATCTAGGAGTGCAGCACAGACTGGGATCGACCTGGCTGCGGATTAGCTCTTTGGAAAGGGGCTTGGGGGACAACAAGCTCAATATGAATAAGCAGTGTGCTGAAGTGGCAAAGAAAGCCAACAGGATCGTTGGTTGCATCAAAAAGGGTATCACCAGCAGAGACAAAGAAGTCATTATCCCACTCTACTCAGTGCTGGTCAGGCCATACCAGGAATACTGTGTTCAGTTTTGGTCCCTGCTATGCCAAAAAGATATGGACAGGCTGGAGATGGTCCAGAGGACAGCCACCAAGATGATCATAGGACTGGGAAGCCTGCCATATGACAAAAGGCTGAGAGTATTGAGTTTGTTCAGCCTTGAGAAATGAAGACTTAGGGGAGATCTTATCACTGTGTTCCAGTATATAAAGAGTGGTTAAAAACAAGACGCAGACTCCCATTTTACAAGGAGTCCCATGGAAAAGATGCAGGGTAATGGGTATAAGTTACTCCTGTGGAGATTCCAATGGGATACAAGAGGAAAATTTTTCACAGTGAGAATAATCAGCCATTGGAATAAACTCCCAGGGAAGTGGTGGATTCCCCATCACTGGACACTTCTGAGGTTCAGCTGGCCAGCCGCTGGGATATCTTGTCAAGATTCCACTTTTACCAAGAAAGGTTGGGCGACACGCTCGTTGAGGTCCCTTCCAACCTGGTATTCTATCAGTCCATGAGTCTATGATATGTGTCTGAACCCTGTCTTAGTGAGTATCATCAGCATCTCATGAAAGCCTTGTGCATGACTTCTTCCTGCATCGAAATCATTATGCTTCCTTCCCCCTCTAGGTCATGAGTTGGGGGATGTGCATTACTGGTGCACCCTCCAGTACTACACGTGTTTGGGGAAAGAATATTGAACCAATCTTGGATCAGACAGGATTCTCCAGATTCACTTAGGGGGGATGTAGGTAGTGGGGTAATTCCAGACCTTTATTTCTTCCTCTAGATGCCTCTTGAGTTCCTCAATCTGTTGGGTAAATCCTTGCTTGCCCCTAGATAGCTGAGAAATCAGAGCATCTTTTTCCTCCACCTGGCGTGAATATTCACCTGGGAAGGGTAAAGTGACAAAATATATCAATACTGTGACAGTTTCTGCCTGTAAACCCATGCAAGCAGGAGTGGCCTGGAGAGGTTACAGAAGTTGTCACTTTGCAGCCTGTGCTTATGCCCACAGCTTGCAGATCCTCCCATTGCACCTGAGGAATGAGGGTGTCTCACCTGATTCTGTCTGCAGACGAGCTCTTTGAGTATTGAGGTCATTGATCATGCGCTGATTCTGCTCCTCCTTAGTTTTTATCTCACTCAGCTGGTCTTCCAGAGTGCGGCACATCTTCTCCAGATTTGCCTAGATAGCAAGCATACACAAGGAAAGGAAAGGAGATGAACACCTGGACTCTGCCTTATCCTCACAGCGGGTACTTTTTTTTTATGAGAATGGGGCTGGTAGATGTAGCCTCTGTGCCATACTGTGGCCCTGTGAGCACGTTCTACGGCAATTCCATACCTTGGCTTTGGAGACAGACTCCATGTTACTGGCCAAGTCGTCAATCTCCATCTTCAGCTCACTCTTCTCCTTCTCAAGCTTCTGCTTCACTCGTTGCAGGTTGTCGATCTGCTCCCCAAGCTCAGCTGTGCTGTCCGCGTGCTTCTTCCGCAGTGCAGCAGCCGTGGCTTCGTGCTGCAGCGTGGCCTCTTCGAGGTCACGACGCATCTTCTGAAATTCTGCCTCACGCTTCTTGTTCATCTCCATCTGAGCTGCGGTAGCCCCTCCTGCTTCTTCCAGGCGCTCGCTGATCTCCTCGAGCTCCCTTGAGAGGTCAGCCCGATGCTTCTCTGCTTTTGCCCGAGAGGTTCGCTCTGCCTCAATTTCCTCCTCCAGTTCCTCAATACGCGCCTGGGGAACATTAGGGACCCTTCACACCCATGTCCTCCTCCTTCCTGAACTGTGTCTGGGTGAGAGAGGGGAAGGGACAGAGACTTGCCTGCAGCTCCTTGATCTTCTTCTGTAATTGCATGCCCAGGGCTTGCTCATCCTCGATTTTGCTCTGGATCTGGCTGATTTCAAAGTCTTTCCTTTGGGCAAAGCAAAAGGCGTTAGAGCTCACAGAGAAAAGACAAGTGCACCAGCCCAGCACTCAGGTGCCCAACAGCCCCACTTACTTCTTCAGTTTCTCATCCAGCTGCTGCTTATCATTTTCCAAATCCATTATGCTGTCATGGGCCAGCTTCAGGTCTCCTTCGAGTTTCCTCTTAGCTCTCTCAAGGTCCATGCGCAGTTTCTTCTCCTGCTCCAGGGACCCTTCCAGCTAAACACAACAAGACCATCAGTGCTCCACCAGTCAGGTCTAACTCCACACCTGTCCTCTTCTTGCTGTATGTCTGTGGGCTTACATCATCCACTTGCTGCTCCAGCTTGGTCTTGGCTTTGGTCAGCGTATTGACTTTGTCCTCTTCTACCTGCAGGTCATCCAGTGTCTGCTGATGGGCCTCTTGGAGGGCTTTCTTCTCTTTTGTCAGCTTGGCGATGGTCTCGTCCAGGTTTGCCATCTCCTCTGTGAGGTTTTTCACCTGTGGATTGTAAGAAAGTGCAAAAAGTCATTGCAGAAGACTTGCCTGCTAGCACAGTGACCTTTTCACTTTGCAGTGCTTAGCCAGGAGCTTCTTTTTAGTTTGGGCTCCCTAGCTGCCCCGCTGTGTTCCTCCTGGTATGTTCCAAACCAACCTTGGTTCTGAGGATACCAGGCTGATGTGGGAGCCATCTGTCCCTTCACCCTCTGTGTGACTCCCGGTGTGTGTACCTTGTTTTCAGTGGCGTGTTTTTCCTTCTCAACCTTGGCCAGTGTTAACTCAAGGTCATCAATATCTTTCTTCAGCTCTGAACATTCGTCCTCCAGTTTCCTCTTCTTGGCTGTCAGCTCAGCGTTAATCTCCTCCTCATCCTCAGCCCTTTCAGTCACCTCCTTAATTTTGGCTTCCAGCTGGATTTTGGTTTTGATGAGCTGGTCACACCTTTCCTCAGCATCAGCCAAGCTGTCTGCTTCCTGGTGGGGAGACACAGGTTTTCGCGGGTTGTAATGCTCTGAAGATTTGCCGCCCTGTCCTTTCTATCACTGAGTAGGCATGTGTTAAAATGGGGGATGAACCTGGCCTTCCACTCCAGAACTGGAAGCTCTTCCCAGGTGTCTACTGGGAAACCTGTTCATCCGGAATCAGCATTGATTCCAAATTTTCTGTGTCTCTTCAAAATGCTTCACAGAGAGGGCAGCTAGGAGAATACTTCATGCACACACAGCATGGCAGAACAGGGGTCACTTCAATTACTACATTCTGCAGGAGCAAGGCCTTGGAGTCTTTTTTCCTGACAGAAAAAATATTTTGTACCTTTTTCTTTTTAGTTGTCTGATTGAGAACCTTATATTATTTGGGAAGTACAGGCTCTTCCTTTTTTTGGAGAATAATTTATTTGAGAAAGGAAGCACTTTTCTAACTGCATTAAAATTGGTGCAAGACCAATAGGGTTCTTGCCTTTCCTGTCAGCTACTTCTGTGCCTTCTTTCCAGGCCATGCCTAGCATTTCCAGTGCTAACTTTTTGATCACTTCATTTGTTGCTAAGAAAGTGCCTTTTCCTAATTGAGTTGGAATGGGAAGTAGCTGTGTTTCTGAAAGTAATCAAGGCCTTCTGGTGTAGCTGCAAGTAGGAAAAGGGAGTCCTTCTCAGGTTTGCCTTTACTCTGTTAGACCCATACACTGCTCTGAGAGCTGAGTAGATGGAGATACTTCCCTTCCAGTTCAGAGCTCTGCTGTGGATTACAGGTTGGCTCGTGTTATGGGGCTCTTTCCTCAGCATGCCCCTGCCAGTGCCTGTTTACTCAACGTTAGAGCGTGTGATGTAGACTGTTTCCTACTGCACGTTAGTCAGCTTCCTGCATGTCTCTGCTGAGGGTAAGAAGCATTCTGACTGATTATCATTCTTTTTCCAGGGACAAATGAAGAGTGATACTCACAGCCTGCACTTGCAGCTGCAGATCGTTTTTCTCCTGCAGCAAGGTCACCATTTTCTCCTCCAGCTCCTTCCTCTTGGCCTCAGACTTTGCAAGCTCTTCCTTGGTTTTCTCAAACTCTTCCTTCATGTTGGCCATCTCCTTCTCAGATTCTGCACTTTTCAGCAAGGGCTTGATCTTGAAGAACAGCTTCATCCAGGGCCAGTGCTTGACATTCATGAATGCACGAACATTGTACTGGATACAGAAGATTGAGTCCCTGAAATTCAATTCCCATGGCTATTGCATAGCTTCAGTGTGATGAAATGAAGCTTCATTAGTCAAGTACCATGGCAGCAAACTAAATATAAGAAATGTCTACCTCCTCTCCACCATTCTCCGATACTCTACTCTCATCAGGAAACCCCTGCACCTGGCTTGTGTTCGAGTGATGATTTCTGCTAGCTTGTCATCTCTCATCTCCTCCAGCAGTCCCAGCAGTCCAGCTTTGAAGAATACCTTTAGAAAGGAAGTGTTGCAGCATGTCTTTGTCAGATAGTACAGAATAGAGGCACATAATCTTTCAGGATCCTGAAGTAGATTTTAATGGCCATGACCAATCTCACCTTCGGCCCACTCAAAAACCCTCTGTCCAAGGCCCATGAGCTTCCTATAAGCTCAGCCGTAAGCATTCAGTCACTGTCTGAGCTATGTGGTATGTTCTGGCTTCCAGTTCAGCCACAGCTTCAGCCATACCTGTGCCTTGTGATGGACCCCAGTGAGCTCTTCTATCACCTGCGGTCTTTCTTCCTGGCTTGCTATTAGACCAATCTCTTTGCTGTGTATCTGTCCAGGAATTAATGAAAAGTGCCTGGGCCTTTTTAGCCTAGCTATATGTGACCCTGACCAATCTCGAAAACCGAGGCTTTATTTCTTCACCTCAGACCTTCCTTATTGTCATAAACCTGCCTGATGATCTGGACTCTTGGTTGTATCTGACTACCGTTCCTGGGTCCTCCCCACTGGCATTGCTTGGATACTCTGGAGCTGGGCACCTGCTGATTGAGGCCCCTACCCTGCCAGCTCTGTTCTTGTGCTGTGCTCCCTGCCCCTGACAAAGCGGCCCACCCTTACCACCCCCTGACAAAATTTTAACATAGGTCTTGTTTCTACCTTGGTGTGACCAAATCTGTATTGGGTGTGGTCCACATCAATGGACCCAAGGAGCTTTTCTGAAGCCTTCTTGCTGTCCATGAACTGTCCCTCTGGGATAGCACTTGCATTAAGCACTCGGTACCTGCAGAAGAAAACAGAACATGAAGAAGTCCCCACCACCAAAAACACCACTATCATTGAACCCCACAGCCTTCTCAGACTGTGTCACTGAAGCAATTTCATGCCTGGAGACAGTTCATCCTGTCAGAACAGGATATGGAGAGTGTTTTTACTATTAACTCCAAGTGCAAGAGAATCCTGATCTCAGCAGCGTCATATCATCATGTACTGATGGTGAAACTTTTCTGTATTACTGCTCATTACCAATTTAAAGTATAGTGTTTCAAGTATTTTATGATACTTGGGCTCTTCAGCTTGGTCTGAAAGGACAGAAAGGTGTGACACTCTTACCTTTGTTTGAAGTCAGCATACAGGACTCTGCTGGGGAACCCTTTCCTGCAAATTCGGATCCCTTCCAGCACACCGTTACAGCGCAGCTGATGCAGCACCAGCTCATGCTCCATGGCACCTAACAAACACCACCATTAGGGACCACCCAAATCTTTGACACTCAGGAGAAGAGCTTCTGCTGCTCAAGTTTTCCACCTATTGGATCCCCTTACCAGGTGTTTTTGTCTCATTTGGGATGATGCATCGTACAAAATGGGGGTGAGTGCTGCGTAGATTTGCCATCAGCTTGTTTAAATTCTCCTGTGAGATCATGAAATGAAGTTTGTATTATTAAGCATAAGCACTGGGACCTTAACAGTGGATGTATCAAACTGAGTGTTTCAGGATGCAAACCTGTCTTCTCTAAAACATCTTACAGAGCTCCCAAAGGGAAACTTGGAAACTAAAGGCCCCCAGATATTTGAAGTTGTTTTGTAGAATAACGGTTAGTATTACTTTTCCTAGATCTCCCTATACAAATAAATAGCTGCCATTTCTCAGCTTTCCTTCCAGCTGGTATTTCTTGGTATTTGGTAGGTATTTAGTTAGGCATTTTAAGTGGATGACAGGTACTCTTGCATAAGTGTGATTAGCATCTGATTTGTGAGCTAAGTTCTTTTTAAATGGAAGGAATATTTGTACAGCCCATACAAATTGAGTTTTTTAGTAGTAACTCAATCTCCCTAAATATCTCCACCTCAGCCTTGAAAACATAACTGAAAGCTGACCTGAAAATTCATTAAACTGATGTAATTTAATACTTTTTCTCTTTCCCCATTGAAATGAAACCATTGCCTTGCAAGCTTACAATCTCAAGGTAATTGTTTTGCTTTCGATGTTTAAACTAATATTTTGAAATTCTACAATGCGTCTAAACTGAAAATCTTCATAGATATGTAAAACAGGTATGGAAAATATCTCTGAAGTCTCCAGACAAAATTTTAAGGAAGTTCAGCTGATTTGTTATTCACTTTCAGTCTAAGTAGGTAAACTTCACCCTTTCGAGATTTTTGTGGAATATTCAGAGAAAGTAATAGCAAAATTAAGGCAGGGGAAAGAAACCACCAAAAAATAAAAATGCAATATAAATAGACAGCTTGTTCGAAAAAACGTCTAAGACGGTTGCCTAAAGGAGTTCCAGCAATCTGACAGTATCATTCTGTCTCCTGAAGTAAAAGGAAGACCATGCAGGTAGAGATTTTGTGGTGTTCTGAGGAAGTTTTTCTGTATATTCCAAGGATGGCAAGGAAAGGATTCTCAAGGATAAAACCACCTATGACCAAAACTGAAACAGACCTTGAAGATTCAGAATAAAATTACTTTGCAACTTCACAGAGATAATGAATTGAGTGCTTACTCGGAAAAGAGCAGAGACAGTCTGGAATGAAGAACCCTTCTTCTTGCCACCCTTCTTGCCACCACCACCAGCAGCCTCTGCAACATTGAAGAAAATGAGAAGATGCCTTTAACATTGCCCTTGAGATTCCCCTTTGTACCATATGAACACATGGAAATGGATTTTACAGAACTTACCTGCTTCCCCACCATAGCTGGCAAAGAGTAAGGCCAGTGTCTTCACAGATGATTTCTGGTACAACCCAATGACAGTTTCATTCAGGGGGTCCTTGTTCTTCTCCAGCCAGCCAGTGATGTTGTAGTCCACCGTGCCAGCATAGTGCACCAGGGAGAAGTGGGCCTCAACCTTGCCTTTGGCAGGCTTGGGCTTCTGGAAGTTGTTGGACTTTCCCAGATGCTGGTCGTAGAGCTTATTCTTGAAAGAGGTGTCCGTTGCCTTGGGGAACATGCACTCCTCTTCCAGGATGGAGAAGATGCCCATGGGCTGGAAGGTACCACAAGAAGTGACAGAAAGATGATAATGATGTGAAGCATGTGCTATGAACATCAAAGGTAGCCATGTGTTGCTGGTAGCGTCTCAGCCTGGATAGGGCCTAAGTTTGTCAGGAGTTGTTCTCAGCCAGGCAGCTTACTTCTGCCTTCCCTGACCTTCCTGCAGCCTGTCTTCACAGAACTGGTAAGAACGTCTGTCTGGTTCAGGTTAGAATTGGGAACAGCATTGGAGGGAGAAGTGGTAAACAGAAAAACAATTGGGAAAATAGCTACAAGAGGCCTAGTTATTTTGAGAAGTCAGGTGAGAAAATATTTATTTCCCAGATTTGCGTGTGGAGTTCTGATTGGAGTCTTCAGAGGAAAAAGGAAAGGAGACTGACTCCAGTTTTTTTTTCAAGAAGTCTGTTGGGGGGAGTCCAGGCTACCTTTACCATGCTTGAAGACCAGGTAATGCAGGATTGATGACACAGATTTGCATTTCTCAGTTTCTCTTCCCCAGACTAAAATAAATTTCAATGCAAAATATTTTGTTTAACTGACACCGAATGTATGGCCATCAGTTCTCTCTGAGCTGAATGTGGCTGAGAAACATCACAGAATTCCAAAATACATTGTACGCTTGTACGGAAAAGGTACCTTCTCAATGAGCTCAATGCAGGCAGCCAGGTCCATCCCAAAGTCAATGAACTCCCATTCAATGCCTTCTTTCTTGTACTCCTCCTGCTCCAGCACGAACATGTGGTGGTTGAAGAACTGTTGCAGTTTCTCATTGGTGAAGTTGATGCAGAGCTGCTCAAAGCTGTTGAACTGCCCAAAGCAAGGAGAGGTGCACAAGTTCTCAAGGTGTGCCCAACAGCACAGCGTTTTGCTAGCATTCTCCTAGTGCTGTTGGAAGTTCCCCAGCTGAAACACCACTCCTAACCATGCTGTAGCAGTGTGTGCTTCCTTACCAGGACTTCCAGTGTAAAAATTACTGTCCTCAAAGGGTTTTATTATTGTTATTATTTTCATTGATTTTGAAATCAAGCTAAAAATAACATTTCTTTTTTACTGTGCTACTCAAAAGCAAATCCTTCAGTAACCTTAGCTGCAGCATAGTGTTGGTGTCTCAGCTCTTTGACTTCGCAGAGGGTGGACGCCTCCTCAGTGTCGCACTCAGAAATTTCTCTGCACTCAGATCAGCAGTCCGGGGGTTTCTCTGCTCTGACACAGAACTCCTAGCATCATCACTGCATTCACATGCTGTGACATTTTGTGTAGCACTACTCTTTCATGGCTCTTCCAAGAGCATCCACACATTTGGCCCATATCTGTGTAAGCCTTAGTCCTAGAGCTGTCTCTTTGCAAAGCCTGGGAGCTTTCAAGCTCAAGGGCCTCTGGGACCATTTGTCAGAAAGCAGAGCTTTCTTCTACCTGTTGACAACATTTGTTAGTAAGGACATTTGAAGGTGCTACAGTGACAGAGAGGAGGGAGGGTTTTCTAGAGAACTGCAGATGAGGAGGATAAACTTCTGAATCTTCTTAAAAAGAAGTGTGTCTTTGGGTCCACATAACCCGTCCCTGGCCCTCCCCTGACTATGGTACCCAATCCTTGTTCCTTACATCAAAGATCTCAAAGCCAGCAATGTCCAGGACACCAATGAAGTACTGTCTGGGTTGCTTGGTATCCAGCTGTTGGTTGATGCGAACAACCATCCACAGGAACATCTTCTCATAGACAGCCTTTGCCAGAGCACCAACGGCATTGTTCACCTAAAGCAGAGAAGAAAGGACCAAAGGTACCTCCTGGGGTCAAAGAAGAATCCTCAAACATTTTTTCAAGCCATGTATTTTCCACCTCCAGATTTTACCTGTGACACATTTTGACCTTTGGTCACGTATTCATTCCCAACCTTGACTCGGGGATAACACAGGGCTTTGAGCAATTCAGCTGAGTTCAGGCCCATCAGGTAGGCAGCCTTGTCAGCCACTATGGAGGGGCAGAGAGAGAGAGAAGCATTTATCTTTGGACAATGGCTAGAATTTGCTCAGTATGAACAACTCTGCTGTTCATGTTCTAGAAACGGAAAAGCATTGGTCTGGTCTCGTACAGAAGGTCTGGGGAGGAATGTAAATTCTGGAAGCTAATGATGGCCTTCTTTAACAGCAAGAACAAACATGGCTTGGATAGGAATAGCTTGTATCTGGAAGTTCCCAGAAGAAACCCAAAGGCCTCTGGGAGTAGATGAGGCATACATGCAGCAGATTCCTTTTCTGTGGGAAGTGAATTTCTGCATCGCAAAGAAAGCAAAGAAAGCAGGATTTATTTCACAAAAACATATAATGGTGACGGTGGTTGAAGGTTTAGAGAGAGAGAGATATGCTGTGTTGAAGTTGAAGTTCCCCCTTTCAGGCTGTGTGTGTTTTGGGAGCATCCTTTAGATAAAGTAATGGTATTTTCCATGATCAGGGAAGCACCTCTGCAGTTAGACAATGAGCAAAGATGCTTTTCGTCAGTGTTTTCTGTGGTGACTCAGGCCAGCAAAGGCCTATCTTTGGTTGCTAACATACCATCTCTGCAAACAGAGCAGTTCTTTGAACATGTTAGTTGATGAATTTGCTGATACCTTCTGTGCCATCGGGCTCTGCCTGCTCCTCTCGTTGTTTCTGCTTGAACTTCAGGTTCCCGTAGTGCATGACAGCCCCGGTCAGCTTGTAGATGGCTGTTTTTTCATCAGCAGAAAAGCCCAGGATGTCAATGGCACTCTGCAGTCAAAGCAATGGAGTAAAAACATTACCCAACAACCTTAAACAATCTCATTGAAAAAAATTTCTCTATAGTACTTACATCTGTAGCCATGAGCTCCTCCTGGTCATCAATGCTGGGAACAGTGACCTCACCTTGACTCACATAGTGGAAATCAAAAGGATTGGTGGTAATGAGGAGCATGTCTGAAAGCAGGAAGAGACAAGGCACAGGCTTAGTTTTGCCATCCAGGTAACAGAGGGAACTGTTGCTCATCTATCATCCTCAAAAAGACATAATGATCTTTCCTACCAATTAACTCTGGCTTCTTATTAGACATGATCTGGTAAAATATGTGGTAGCTTCTTTCTGCCTTGAGCTGGAAAGTGACTCTGGACTTCTCCAGCAGATCTGTCATGGAAGGTAGAAAGAGGTAGTCACAGGGACGTACATGGAGGTGGGAATTTAGGAAGGAGTGGGAACAGGCCTGGAGAGTCTCTTACAAGTTTCAATGTCAGCAGAAGCCAGTTTGCCTGTGGCCCCAAAGTGGATTCTGATGAATTTGCCCTGTTAAGGAGAAGAAGCAGCATTTCAGCCTGGATGGGTTCTTTTGGCATCTCCTTTATGTGGAATACTGCTGGGGCATCATTTATCTTGTAAAGAGAGGGAGATATTAGCCCATCGCTACTGCTATAATGAGGTGGGATTTTGTCCAAAGCAACAACTTACAAAGCGTGAGGAGTTGTCGTTCCTCACGGTCTTGGCGTTTCCAAAGGCCTCCAGCAGTGGGTTGGCGCTGATGATTTGATCCTCAAGCGTTCCCTGCAGGATGATAATTATTGCTGGTTACCCTTTCCAAAAATCACGTGAGGAACAGAGGAAAGCCTTGATTCAAGCCAGCATCTGTTAATTATTGGTTTCATCCTCAAGTGTTCCCTACAGGCTGAAAAGTATTCAGTTACAGTGTTTAGTTGATATGGTAATTTCATGTGAAACGTCCAGTCTGTTCTTCCTGACTCACCTGCATTTTGCCAGGCTGGTCTTCCTTCTTCTTCTCCCCGCTCGCTGCAATTGTTGCAAAGTACTGGATGACACGCTTTGTGTTCACAGTCTTCCCTGCACCGGATTCTCCGCTGTCAAGCCAAAGAGAGAAGCAGAGAGCGTGTGGTCAGGCAGGAGGTCCCCTGGCATTGGGCAGCCCCGCAGGGACCCAAGCAGGGGGTGTACATACGTGATCAGGATCGACTGGTTCTCGCGATCTGTGAGAGAGGCAGAAACAGAGATGCTGCTAATGGCATTCTTGAGTAGTAAGGAATTCAATGGATGTGATAATACAACAGTACTTTTAGAGAGCCTATGTATTACATGGAGAGGGCTGGAGTTATCAAAATTTGGGTTTCTTCAATGTTTTTTTTACTTCTGAGGTATCCATTTAAACTCCCTTTTCAATTGTTGAGATAGGACATTTCTCACTATTCTAATCTATTTCTCTTGTCAGTCTCTGTATGAAATGAATACAGATGCACGAACACCTATTAATTTCCAGTGACTTCAAGAAGTCTGTAGGATTATCTTCCTCAGAGAAGTCTGTTACAGACATTGGACGGCTTTGGTATGAAGGAACTCCCTATAGAATCCACAGAGAAAAATACCAATTTCTTGTGTACCTTTTTAAGGTCCCAGCAAGTATAACTAACTGCTTATACATCAGTGAGTCCTCAAACAATTTGAGACTCTGAGATCAGTTTATACCTGTTTCCCTTTAACAAAGTAGCCTTTGAGAAGTTTGATTAATTAGGTCTCATCTCTAAATAGCAAGGGGTTGTAGCCACTAACTGTATAGGTCGAAAGCATTTTGATGTCCCGCTTACCTAACTCATTTGTAGAAGTGTAGAGTTTTAATCAATGTTGGGAATGTTTAAAAAAGATCTTTTTTTCCCTCCTTTTCTTAATTTTCTTTTTCACCAGTGAATTCAAAGGAACAAATTCTTTCTGTGGTGGGAAAGAGCGTGGGAGTTCTCTTGCTTTGGTTTTTTTTTTTTTTCAGATTGTTTCTGCTCATTTTTTTGTTTATTTTTGTCTTTATAAGTCTGTTTCTAAAGGCACTAACTAAGAGAAGGAAGAAAGAAGAAAGCAAATGTGAAAAAAAATGCTACACTACTTGTTGTCCATGAACCTGCTCCAGTTTTAAATGTGGAAGTGGAAAAGGAGAAAAAAAAAAAAAACACATTCAAATCATCGTTCTATTTTTATTCGATATTCAGGGACTCTTTTTAAGAGTCAGCATTATCACTCTGTGATGTTCAGTAATGTCCTTGTGGAATCATGAAACAACTGTAGATGTATAGCCATCAAATTATTGATTCCCCTCTGCATATTGCAGTTTTGGTGCAGAGAATTCTAGTCCTTTCTGGTCAAGTAACTTTCACGCCTAAGAGGCAAATCCATAATACCAGAGTATTAACTAAGAGCTAATTTGAAAGCATTTATCATTGCTTCCACAGGGTGCAACTTTGCTGGGATTCTGTATCTTATTCTTTTCCAAGAAGTTGTAAATATCAGAATAATACTTGAAATCAGATCATTTTCTTTTTCAAACAATGTCTTCATGAAGCCCAAACACTTAGAAATTAACCTACAATACAGTTTAGGGAGACATTGAACAATTGAATTAGTTCAGAGCTATATTAATATTTTCTGTCAGATTTTGAGCAAATCAGATCTCAGTCATAGGTAGGGGAGAATTTTTGTTTCACCTGTCACAATTCATCCTATTAATTATTCTTCACTGTAGCTTTTTCAATGCTCTTATCTGCATGCTATCAGTTAGAGTTTCAAAAATCAGTAGGACAGAACTGTGTCTCATGCACAATATCAACAACTGTTAAAATAATTAATTAAAGCCTCATGTTGAAGTTTACATCTCTACACATACACATATTTTTTTAAAAAGAACACAAATGTTATATTGCCATGAAGATGCTGCCATTGTCTCACCAGTTAGCATGAACTGATAGGCATTGTCAGAGATGGAGAAGATGTGTGGAGGGGCCTCCTGGCGCTTCTTGCCTCGGTAGGCCAACACCACCTCCGGGTTGTACACCGGCAGCCACTTGTAGGGGTTGACAGTGACGCAGAAGAGACCCGAGTAGGTCTGCGAGGAAGGGAGACACCACGTTGGCTTCCACTTAGCCTGGCAGAGCAGGTCCTCCTCACTACCCAAAGGAAGACTGCTGCTGGTACTTACGTAGATCATCCAGGCTGCATAACGCTCTTTGAGGTTGTACAGCACAGCGGGTTCGTGGAGGTGGGTCATCATGGCCATGTCCTCGATTTTATCATACTTGGGAGGGTTCATGGAGAAGATTTGATCTTCCTTCACGGTCAGGGTCTGTCAGATGAAGAAGGAGATGCATATATGTCAGCTAAGAGCTGAGAGTGGGAATTACATACAGTTTTTAAGCCTTGGTTTTCACTCACCTCTCCACCTTCAGTCTTGACAGTGACCTTCCCAGATTCTTTGCTCTGGATTGTCCCTTTCACAAAGGATTCCTTAGGATGTACCACAAAGACGGATGACTTGGCATCAAATGGCTTGTTCTGGGCCTCGATTCTTTCCTTCTCTGATTTTCGGAGGTAAGGAGCTGCCTCCCCAAAGGCAGCCATCTCAGCATCTGGAGAAGTCATGGTTGCACTTATACAGGAGGCACAGTCAGCAGAGTACTCTGTAGGAAAGAAGATATGTTGAGTCAGTGAGTGAGCAGCTTTATGTGGAAGAGAGGAAATCTCTTGCACTTTGATCTCTTCAAATATTTAAGTAGGTATAAGCAAGTCAAAATTTGGATTTAAACTTCCCAGTTTTGGCTGAAAATACTTGTATGCTTCTCTGAAATTTGTCCATTGTACATCTAGCTATGTAACAAAGTATAGAACAGTCCTTTGGCGTTGCAGTGTTGTAGTACAGTTTAGCAGTATTACTTCAACTTTGTGGACTCTAGTGAATTTTGAAGTTGCCATAGTAGAAATTTAATATTAAATAAGTCTCTGATTATTTTTTTAAATTCTACCCAAGAGTTTCCAAAAGACTTGCTTGATTCATAGGAAATATTGGGTTTTCACTGGAAAATTTCCTTGCTATGGACAATTCATCTTGCATTATGACAGATATAAATGTCTCTATTGCCTGTTCTGCTTTCTAGAAATCTTAAACTGTTGGATTAGTTCCTTTTCCTTAAAAATTGGGTTTTTTTGTTTTGTTTTTTTTTAATTCTGGTGGCAGAGTGAGTCACTGCTGTCTGAAAACATACCAACTCATTTTGTGTTGCACACATATCCAGAGCTAATATATAAGATGAAGGAAAAGATGTTGCTTTCAAACCTGGAATAAAATCACTCATGAGAGAGACAGTCCCTGATAGAAATGGATACCCAACGCTTATAGGACTTAAATGGAATAAAAAGGTATATGCTTAGCCCAGAAGTTCACAGGAGCCATACACTTACCTTGAAATTTTCTGTCAAGACTGGGCACAGCAGTCCAAAGAGACTTTTATAGAGTCCGGTATGCAGATGCTCTGGATGTTTCCTTTTCCTTCAGTCAAAATATATTTTGGCAAACCATCTTTGGCAAAACATTGTCTGGCAAACTTAACTAACGACATAATTGTCATTTGATTTGACTAGATATATTTAGAAATGTTTTACATCTTACCATTCCTGTGGATCCATTTCCTATAAATAGTCTGACAGTGCTATTAATAAGGGAATCTTGATTACTCAAGGCACTTAAAGAACTTGGATGTAGAATTTATAGATTCCTCTACTGAGAGAACTTGACCTTTGACCCAGGCATGATTCTTTGGCATTTCTGTACTGCAACTATTCCAGATGTAAAATGGGAATAAACTAATATATCTTGTGTACATGGTCCTGTGAATTTAGGGATTACCTTTACAGTATTAGAAAAGACAATTCTACAAAAGACAAATTATGACTAAATGTCATTCAATAATTCATTATATGTTATATTGAAAAGGGGAAAACAAGACACATACTGTCAGCTAGGACTTTGACTGCAATAGCACTAGATACAGAGGGAATCCAAGAGACAGCAAGTCAGAATACAAGTTCAAGTTTGGACATGCAATTCATGCCTAGAGAGTGAAAGGTGACTCCTAGCTATAAAAAGAAATAAATATCTATGTGAGCAAATCTGCACTTTATTTTGCAGAAAGTAAAAAATTCAAAATATGCATACTACAGACTTGTTCAGTATTGCTGTAGTCACTCATAACTGATATTAGAGAAAAGTCTTACCTACTTTTAAACAAACAAATTACTCATGGTAATACCTGAAAAAAGAATATTATACCGCTTTTTTTCTAGCTAGTCTAGAAGAAATGTGTAACATTGAATAAATAGCATTTTTAATAGGAAAGTTATTCATAGTTAGTTATTTCTGTTTCTCAACCTTTAATAAAGATACTCTAAGGGTGAAGAAAGACAAATATGCAAAGGTAACCTGGACCAGAAAAAATAAATTAAATATATGCATACTCAATAAATACACAATGATACTTCCTACTTCCTCTCACACAAAAATAAAGTGTTAACATGCCTTAAAGAGCATAAGTTTGTGTCTCAAATATGCACATAGGTACTGTCAAAATATGTCGAGCAACGTCCTCAACCAAGTAAGGAAGCAGGGGAGGGCCCTGTAGCCCTTCAGTACCTACAACAGGTAGACCTGGAAAGTGGCTGATCTAG